CGGCGAGGCGAGGCGAGGCTGGGCTGGGCTGGGCTGCCGGCGAGGAGCGCAGATAGGGCTGGCACCAGAGCCTAATGGCTTTATGGGCAGGGGAGGCGGACAGGAGAAAAGCTTCAAAGGCTCTTCTGGTCCAAACACCCCTCTCCCTTCCCTGCTCAACCCACCGGGAACCTCAAAGGCCGAGGGCAATCTGGCAGCACCTCAGCCCTTTCCCCCACACCCCAGACACCGGCAGAAAGCAAACGCAGGCATCCCGGACCCGTGCGGATTCGTGTAACAAACTCTCCTCGCACCCAGCCTCCCCCAAGCCGCAGGGAAGCAGCCACCTCATCACGCCATCGACACCGCTCCTGCTGCCTCCATCTCTACATGGCATCCCACCACCCTGTCCTACCCTGTGCTGCACAATGCCCACCTCTCCGCCACGTAAAAATGCCCCCCTCCACTCCCACACAGCTTCCTCGCTGAGCCCGGAGTCCCCCCAACCCAGCCCCTGCGGCAGTGGCAGCTCCCCGAATGCGGGCTGAATATGGGGGTCCCCCCCCAGCAACTCCCAAGTCATGTCCACAGCATACGCGGTCCAAGACCCGCAAGTACCCAGCCTTTCACTTTGCCTCACGAGCGGCACCCGAGACATGAAATCACCAGACTCGGCAGCTCAGACCACTGAAGTATATTTTTTATCAAATTCCTCATGCCCGACACGGTGGACTTGCTGTGTTTGTTTGCAGCACGCTTCACTTCCTCCCCCATCCAGATGTGCTGTACCTGCAGCTGGTGGCCCATCTCACCTGGCAGGCAGATGTGGGCTGTGAGTGCCAGAATTAGCCTCAGGACAAAAAAGCCTTGTGTGACCCAGAACCTCGGCGGGAGGGGAGTTTTACTGCTCGGGCACAGCAGGATCCACGTCTGAAGAAAACAGGGTGACTTTATTCGCATCTTCTATATTCTCCCTTTTCCTCCTCCCACAGCCCCGAGCGTGACGGAGGGATGGTGAGGTGTATGTGTGTGTAGCCACGCATACGTGTTTTGGGTCTGTTTCTATAGGGAATAGACAGAATGGAAAGTTTATCTCCGGGAGTCTGGGGAGGAAGGAAGTTGTGTATGGATGAATGGCTTTTCCATGACAAACAATGAGTCTGCACAGACATGGTGTGATGTCACCTAAAGAATTTCCAAGCCTGCCTCAGATACAGAAAACCTCCTCGCTGGCAGAGATGAGCGCGTCTCACCTTTCCACCTCGCCACAGCCAGAAGGAAGAACTAGGACAGGGGGAAGAAAAAAAAAAAAAAAGGGCCCTTGCTGTCTCACACACGCACACGAGGAAGGCATGCGCCATGTAAATAGATGACACGATGGGAGAGGTGTATCTCCAAGCTTCGCCCTCACCAAGTCTCCTCACGGATTCTGAGAAAGGAGTAAACCGTGGCGAGCTGCCTCGGTGCCTCTCCCAGCCAGGAATGTGAGGCGGCACCAGCCAATGAGGCACTTCCACAAATAGGGGTGATGTCAATGTCCGCATTCGTGTGAGCTTCTCTGAGCGCATGTGCGCAGCCGCGGCACTCCGCAGGGCAACAAGGATGTACCACCACGTGGCGCTGGACCGGTGGTCCACCTCCGGCGCTGCGCCGTGGTGGAAACAAAAACCTTTCCAGGTGGTAAAAGTCTAGGAGATGCTCCTGCGAAACTTGGTCCAGAAACACACGGTGTTAATTAAGTATCTCATTTTAAGTATTAATATTCGAAGGCAGCCACTGATTAACAACAGCAAAGTGTTGTGAATGCTGCTAGTAGCAACTTGACCTCCAAAAAGCACCACAGAATCACAGAATCGCAAGGGTTGGAAGGGACCTCGGGAGATCATCTAGTCCAACTCAGCAGGGCAATGATCTTATGTTGAAACACGAGGCACAAAAGTTGCCGTACGGGATAAGATCGCTTATCCAACCAAAGGCGGCAACGAAAGGAGATGCTTCAGCGGGGAAGGTCTGAAACTCTGAATTCTACCCAAATTCTGCTGCTGGCAAGAGCAACTGCCATTGAGTTAAGACATGAATTATGGAAGCGAGTCCTTTTTAAGGTGCTGGAAATAATTTCTTCACTGGCTGCGTTTATGATTTCAGATAAAGATAGCAGGTGAGGCGTTGTTGGAGGGATGTAGCCTCAGCTAGCAACTTCCAGACCAAAAGCTGCAAAGCACTCAGCCAGCGGTCCAAGGAATACTGTCTATCCGTCTTCCTTGCACCCGCTTCTACTTGCCACCAAAATCTTGACAGCAAGCTTTCGATTTTGTAAATAAAAAGCTTGGGTTATTTTTTTAAGCTCAAGCCGCTTTGGCAAGGTTGTTTGCAAAGCAGGGCTGGGTGGGAGAAGCCAGTGGAATTTTGTGAGGATGAGAGGTAGGATGAAGCGGGGCTGCGGGAGGGCTGGGACAAATGGAGCCAGCGAGGGAGGCATCAGGTAAGAGAGGAGGAAGAGAGAGAAGAGCTGCCAGCAGGTAATCCCAAATGACTGACTGGGAGCCTGGGAGAATCATCAGGATTTGGGTGGCTCAGGGGAAGGAGGCTAGAGTGAGCAGGACTTTGGGATGGCTCCATACGAGTGACACAAAGGGATCACTACGCTATCAGGTATAAGGGAGGCCCTGGAGAAAGCCAGTCTCATCCACTCTCCTGTTCCCTGGCTAACCCCTGTCTCAAATCCAGGTCTGCCCAACCTCACCCCAGGCATACCACCCCTCCTGGCCACTCCCCACCACCTGTCCACTCCCCACCACCCATGTGACTCCCACTTTCATCCCAAACCATCACTCCCTCGCGGCAGCCCACCCACACCAACTCACACCGCTCCTGCTACAGGAAGGGGCAGTAGAAACAACTCTGAAACTGAGGGTTGCTCCTGCTTCTGTTGGAACAGGTCCCATCCCACCCCTTTGAGTGGGCCTGGCTCACTCAAACAGTGGTAGTGAACCTGGGCTGTGCCCTGAGTGCTGATGCTTTTGCCTAGATCGCTGAGGATCACCTGGGCCAAATAGGGAGCTGTCACCTGAAAACAGGACATGGATCTTAACCTTCAGATTGAAGGTCCAATGCTCCCTTAGGTCTAGCTGCTCCCTTCCTAGAGGGAAAAGCAGCGGCAGCAAGCCTGCCTCTTCATAAAGCCTTGGCATTCTGCTGCATTCAACAGTCTGCTGCCCTAGGCAACTGTCTACTGTGTTGCCTGGCTGCCTAAAATTAGTACCTGTGTTTGCCTTTGTTCGATTTTCGGAGGTGACAACTATGCACGAAGCACAAATCTACACATCGAGTTTCCAAAGTCACGGCAGAGCAGCTGGAGAGCTGTCGCCACTTTCCCAATACCGTCCCTGCTGCATTTGCTGGAGGGAAGCTGCAAGGCTCCAAGAAAGAAGGGGAGGTCATGTCATGAGATCATTTGCAAAGATTTGGCAGACTGTGAAAAAAGTTGAACCCTGGCTGGAAGAGAGCCCTGATAACTTAGAAAAGGAGTTACTCATGCAAATTCCTTGCCCTACCCTTATTGTTTTACGTAAATTTGGGATGTCCCCAAGTGCAACACAGATCTTTAACAAGTGCTGTAAGGAGTGCTGAAAGAAAATGTAAGTCTCTTTCCATGTAAC